CCCTTTCATTCATCGCTGGTTGTAAGAAGCGTCATATGCGTCATTCCTCTTCTTAATTGGGACCATGAAATCACCTGCACCACGGGCTCAAAACAGCCAACCTTTGAAGGTTACGGTAGTGTGTGGGAGGTTCTTTGTATTGAAGACTGTACACGATCGCGTCGTCTTCTCAGAAGTGAGGCTATCTGTGCAACGTGCAAGTCTTAGCGGTTGCGGCGGTGTCGGCTTCCTTGGCCTCTCAAACCAGCCCGTGCCGCTGCCGTGGCCTGCGTAGTCGGCCAGCTCGGTCAGCTCTGGCTCGGCTCGTGCCGTGCGTCTCGGGTTCAAGGCCGGCTGGGCCTCTCAGCCCCTCATTTTCTTCGGTGTCCGTAGGCTCCGTCGGACGGCTAAACGGACCTCACATTCACCGACCGCCGGCACCTGTCGGTGCTCGTCTCCTGCCGCTCTGGCGGCACTCCCACTCCTGGCGCGCTCCCACCCCTCCGACGGTGCCTCCACTCCTGGCGCGTGTCTGCTGCTCTGACGGCGCCACCATTACTGGCGCGCGCCCGTTGCTCTGACGGCGCCACCATTACTGGCGCGTGCGCGTCGCTCTGACGGCGCCTCCACTCCTAGCGCGCTACCGCCGCTATAACGGCGCCTCAACCAACTAATTAACACTCCTGGCACGCGTCCTCCGCTCTGACGGTGCCTCCGCTCCTGGCTCGTGCCCGCTGCTCTAACGGCGCCTCCAATCGTGGAGCGCGCCCTCCGCTCTGACGGCGCCTCCATTACTGGCGCGCGCCCGTCGCTCTGACGGCGCCTCCATTACTGGCGCGCGCCCGTCGCTCTGACGGCGCCTCCATTACTGGCGCGCGCCCGTCGCTCTGACAGTTCTCCCGCCGCTCCTACGCAGGTGGCCTTGTTCAGGTCATTAAGCCGCTCCTGTGCTGTCGCGACCCGCAACTGCATGAAGAGAATTACGACTTCTAGATCAATTCATCACAAGCAATACGCAGCACCTTTTCGTGAACATAGCTGTGGGCGGGCTGAACCGTTGAACACCCAATGCACGTACACCCAATGCATGTTTGCCCTTTCTGTGCTGTCGGCTGATTCTTGCTCTGGTTTTTTTGCGACCGTGTCACCGCTCCTGATGGTATTGCTTACCATATTGCGCCATACAGCTGCTGGCGGGATAAATGGCGGTGATGTCGCCCCGTGGGAAGCTGGTCGGCCAGTGGGTACATGGCGACGGCGGAATGACGCTGGCAGCGGCACCCACAGCGCTGGACCAGCGGGCGCAGCTCTCTAGGTACCTGACAGGCGTCAGACGGCCTCGCTGTCCGCTGACTGACGGGGCAGGGGACGGCTCGGCCGCTCGGCGTGACTTGGCGACCCTGGGCCCTGGACCTAGGGACTGCTGACTGGGAACTGCCGTCAGAGGCCTCGCCGCGGGTTCATATGGAACTGGAACAGTTGTTCGTCAGAGCTGGCATCACTACTTGAAAGCTAGGTTGATATTGCGCTTTTCAAACGGATGTCGCCACCAGACGGGCAGGTGTGATCTATTCCGAACACCTGCCAGAAGGCAATAAAACACATTCTCAAGGTGTGGACGGTGAGAGCAGTTTTAACGCGTTTTGTCAAGTGCAGGACATAGACAGTCAGATGTGCTAAAGCTGCGAGCGCGATTTCAGACCTGCAAGAGCTGCATTGGGGGAGGCCTGTTGAGAAGCTGTTGGGCCCTGACATTGGCCTTGTCAAAGGTCCTGTCAGGGGCCCTGCTGGATCAGAGGCCTCGGCTCCGCCGTAGGGGGAGGCCTGTTGAGCCCTGTCAGAGGCCTTGCCAAAGGTCCTGTCAGAGGCCCTGGCCCCGTCGTGGGCCAGAGCCTCTGATCCGTCAGGATCGCCCGGAGCCGATCCTCACGCGCCCTGCTCTCCCGCCAGTCCTGGCCTCGGGGCCGGTTCCGGAGGGAGCGGGCACCCTGGATCCTGGACCTGGCTGTCTCGTCTGCGGGCCGGGCCCGCGGCGGCCGCACCCGGTCATCACGAGCCTGGCTCCCGGCGGCGCCCTCCGTGGGACAGTCCGCCAGAACTCAGACAACCAATGAGCGCCGGGCGCGCCGACAGCTGATTGCCGTCCGCAAACGGCGGCGCCGTGTATTTACCGGCTCGGACGGGGGTCATTAGGGGCGTCCCCTCCCCCTCCCCCCAGCGGCCGGACAGACGGACGGCGCAGTGACAAAACAATATAATAGCGGTGATCATTGCCGGGCGGTGACCGTCGGCGGTGACGGCCGGCCGGATGGCTCGGCTCTAAATACCGGCCGAGCGGCCCTGAGTCTGACCCCGTGCCGCAGCCGCCGCCGGCGCGCGTTACCCACAGCAATGACCGGCTGGCCAAATTACACGGCGCGCCGCGTCTCGATCTGCCCTTGTTGCGCGCGCCGTCCTGCGAACGCGCCGCCTCGCGGATGACCAGGGCGCCGGCACCGCGTGCAAGACGGGCGCCGTCTGGCGGCGGTATCCAGTGACTCCGGAGGATGATGACGGCTGGCAGTCCGGCGTGGCCGTGCTGCCGGGTATTGAAGGGCGGCGCGTGTAGGACAAAGGCGGCCGCCGGTCGCCGGATGACGACCGGCCCCGTCCCAGCGGCCGCCATCAGCGCCCAGACTGCCAGCGTGGGAGTCGGGCGGCGGGCGGCGGGCGGCGGGCGGTGGGCGGCGGGCGGCGGGAGTCGGGCGTCTGGCGGCGGGCGGCGGGCGGCGGGAGCCGAGCGGCGGGCGGTGGGCGGTGGGAGGCGGGAGGCGGGGGCGGGAGCCGGGCGTCTGGTGGCGGGCGGCGGGCGGCGGGAGGCGGGAAGCGGGAGGCGGGAGGCGCGGCCTATCTGGCGGGGACGGCACGGCTGAAGAAGGTGACGCCGGCTGCGCTGCAGTCCTCGTCAGCCGCTAACGGGCTTACGGACACTGCACATGGCAGATAATCACCGGGGAAGCACAGCGCACAGCCGTCGCGCGGGATAGAGCGATGACGTGAAAGATATAAGGGTGCTGGATAAGTATTACGCTGATAATGATGCAGCATGCGCTCATTACCGATCGGAGATTCATGGTATCGCAGCGAGCTTCCCTTCGATGCAGCTAGTTATCTACGGCTGCATTTTCACGGCGACACGACACGCATGCATTAATGTAAGTGAGCGACCAGTCACTGGACATTCCAATGCTGTGAGAGATGTGAAAACGAGAGAGCGCATCTTTAGCATCTCTCAACTACTACAGAACCGCGTGACTTGGCTCACGAAAAAAGACATACGGTGCATGGTCCACACATATTTTTCGATGTCCGACATGTGTCGGCATGCCGGCTTGGGGTGTGACTCGCTGGGGCCGCGTTAACCTGCCGTACGCCCGCGTTCTGGCGCCGGCACCGTCACTGGTGTCAGCCTGGCCCCCGCCTGGACGTGGCTCTCCACTCCGGGACTGTGGCGTCTGCACCCTCACTGGGGCCGGCCTGACCCCCACCTGAGCACAGCCCTCCACTCCGACACTCCTCTGGCTCCTCTGGCTCCTCGGACCTCTCAAAAGGTCCGTTGATGGAAACCACTGGTAAGAGAATCACTCAGCTGCCGTGATTACCCCTGCGGCCATCCCCTTGCCGTGAGGTCCGGTCTGGATCCGGGGCTCGGCCATACTCGGCTCCGGTGGCGTGCTGTCCGGCGTCTTCACACCCACACGGTGCTGTGTGCGGCCGCGCCTGAGTGAGTGCGGTACCCCACGTTGCCGTGTGCGGCCGCACTTGAGCAGGTGCGGTACCTCACGCTGCTGTGTGCGGTCGCGCCTGAGTGAGTGCGGTACCTCACGCTGCTGTGTGCGGCCGCGCTTGACGCCTCCGACGTACCGCCCCCGGCGGCTGTGGCTGCGCCCGCCCTCCTTGCCAGCGCCGCGTGCGGCAGATCGGTGCGATGTCCGAGCCGGGAGCGAGGCGGCCGCCGGCGCCCACTTCCGGCTGACTTCCGGCGCTCTGGCGGGCCGGCGGGCCGACACAGACCGATGGGTCTGGCCGGTGCCGTGCTGTCGGCGGATCCGACGACCGGGCCGCCGACGGAGACGCAGGGCGAGCTGCAGCCAGGGACGGGGTCTGGACTGGGGCCTCACGAGCTGCAGCTGTGGGCGGGGGTAGACTGGGACTGGCGCGAGCTACAGCCATGTACAGCGGGGGGGGGGGGGGAGGGTAGACTGTAGCAGCGCAAGGGGCTGCAACTGCATATCACCCGCGGAGAGACGCATGAGAGCCGGTAACGTCACGAGAATTTACGCCAAGCCAAGTCGCATGCAGCTGAACCGTCCTTCCTCAGCTAATGCAGTTCATGTAGAAGCGTAATCCATGTGAATGCAGTCAAATGCAGCAGACAGCAAGTCGGTCTGTGAGTCATTTGGCGAGCGGAATGTGGCAGATGCAATCACAGAAAGTGGTCTGGTGGTCAGCTACCTCGATTTTACGGTTATAGCGATATAAAACGAAACATGCATGATTGGATTGAGGCTGCGTCATGCTGTTGTCCCATCAATATAACCTAATCATACTTCCAGGGCTCATTGTAGTTAAAGGATGCATTTGTGCACATCCGATATGCTGAGTGGGGACTGTGCATGACTCTAAAAGCTCTGCAGAACACGAACGATTTACTATGAAATAACCTTCTGTTGCATTCGTTTCGCTCCGTGAATCTGGCGGGTCCGTGTTCGTGAATTCTTGGGCACTCGTGCACCAATGTACATAATGCTCGATGGAGCGCATATATTTATCCATGACATAGACTGCTGGGTGAAATGAATACAACAGCGTTAGCGTGGTTTTGGGAGTGGAAATATTAAGAGGTCAAGAGGCTGCGTAATTACCGTTTGAAGTACACCGTTCCTCAGGGCCAGTTTACCCAGCTGACATTGGGCTGGGCATGTGTCGCGATCCGCAGTCGGCGTGCCGCCGCTAACTCACCGTCCGTTCTGCTCTTTCAGGACCCGTCGGCACTCTCTGACCATGGCCGTGCTAGCGGCCCTGCTCGGTCTGACCTGCGCCCTGGTGCTGACCTCGGCCCAAACGCTGGACGACGACCTACACTCCCACCTGGACGACGGTAGGTCGGCCGTGGCCGCCGCCGCCCGCACGTTTCCTGTCCGTCACCGGCTGCTTGTTCGCCTGCTTGTTCGCCTGCCCGTTCGCCTGCCTGTCCAGGCTACCTGTCCGGCCGCCTGCCTGGCCGCCTGTCCGGCTGCCTGTCAGACCGCCTGTCTGGCCGCCTGTCTGGCCGCCTGTCTGGTTGCCTGTCCAGCCGCCTGTCTGGCCGCCTGTCCGGCTGCCTGTCCGGCTGTCTGTCCGGCCGCCTGTCCGGCGGCCGTGACGCGTTCGACCCCTCGACATGAAGCTGTCCGCCGGCCGGACAGGTCGTGACCGGCCGAGGCGCCCCTGCCGTACCCCGGCGCCACCGCCCCACACGCCCGCCCTTTGTGTGGTAATGGCGCGCCGCGCCCGTTCCCACGCCGTGGCGACCCGCGCCGAGGTGGCCGTGAGAGGACGGAGAGGCGCCGGCGCCCCCGCACGGCTCCACTGCACGTCCGGGCGGCTGTCTCCAGAGACGTCAGGCGCCGGCCGGCCCGGACAGCCGGCGGTCCATTACAGATACCGCCTTTCGCCCACGTGTCTTGTGTGTCCGTCACAACCCCAGCCCGTCGTCGGCAGTGCCGCTGCGGCGCCGGGTGGCTTACCATATCTCATGACTGCCCGATGCGGCTTCTTTTTGTTCGTGGCAGCTTCCGTTGGTCCGCCAAATGTTGTGTGTGTTGTGTGTCCAATGTTGTGTGTTGTGTGTCCAAAATGCTGTGTGTCCAGCGTAGCTTCTATCTGTTCGTCGCAGCGCCCGTCTGCCCGCCAAAGCTTCTGTCTGTGCGTCGCAACATCCGTCTGTCTGCCACAGCTCCTGTCTGTTCATCATAGCTTCTGCCTGTGCGTCGCAGTTCCCATCTGTCCTCTATCCGCCACCGGCAACATCTTGATCTTGAGCCACCGGCTGATGTCCGGGGCAGCATGGGCCACTAGTCGGGGGTGATGGCGTCTCCACGGCCTCTAGCTGGTGACGCGCTAGCTGATGCCCGGTCGCTGTGTCCGGTCCTTGACGTGCGCCCCCTTTGTGGGGTGCTTCGCCGCTCTTCCGTCCTCTACTGCTGTCACCCGTGTCTGTCCCCTGTCTCTCCGTGTAGTCGGCCTGTCTTCCGGCCGTTCTGTCCGGTGATTTATCAGCACTGCTGTAACTGGCCCCTTTAGACGTACCGCTGCTGGACTGCCAGTTTTTGAAGCAAGTGACGTCCAGTCTTTTGGCGGCGCAGCGCGTACGTCAATCAACTGGAGTAAGGCCGAACTGAAGAAAGTGAGCGACAAAGGAAAGGCTATCATGAGATAACTCAACCTCAGATATGAGCCATCAGCTCTGTAAAGGGGTGAGATGACGCCTTTCAAATGGAGATCGAGCCTTGCAGCGGCCTCGTGGAACACCAGACCGGTGTTCGTGACAGGACAAATGGCCTCTGCAAGGGTTCACTGGTTTCTCGACGGCTCTCCACTGCCCGCCGCCTTGTGAAGCGACCGTTGACCTGTTCCCGCTCAAACGTAATTGCGATGCTTAAGGATATTGGCCGTTCAGCTCGAGCGTTCGACCACCTTTTCCGACCGACAGCTGGCGCCAGCACCGAATGAGGCAGCTTGCAACAGCGGACTGTCTGTCCGCTGTCTGTCCGCTGTTCGGAGCAGCCAGTTTCCAGCTCACCGCGACATGAGGCACTTACGAGCTGATGCAGAATTCATGGGATGGGAAAAGCTCACCTGTGCCCTAAAATTCCCGGCGATGCCCGGGCTAAATGCACTGCCGTTTGGGACAGCCCACTTTGTTGAAAGTGCAGGTGCTCTCTGTGAGTCCGCTAGCCCTTAAAAAAGCTGTTGGTGCCAAGAGTACATGCCATCCTAGAGTGCTCATGACAGGAAGGCGTTGATGAAGGCATGACGAACTGTGCAAAGCCTTTAGTTAGATGACGGCGATTAGCTGTTCTGCAGAGTATACTGCTCTTGCAGCTAATGATGGCACACTGAGACCTGAAATGATTATTTTTGTTTCGAAGCACGCTAACGCACTGCCATGTGATGACTGACCACCACTAATGAGAGAAGTCGAGATAAGGCGTGCCGTGTTGAATATTGATGACCCCATCACAGAAGGATTTTGTCGCTCAGCTATTTTGCACCTTATCTGCTGCCAGACGGTTTCAGGAGGTGACGACATGTGCTTGGTATTTGTTGGAAGCTGTGCGATAGAGCCCTCAGCGTCGCCTATCGACCTCCGGCTCTCTGTCAGCTAGCGGTGTCATTCAGCGCTATTGCCAAGCCGCGCCTTCAGTTTCGAAGGTTTGGCCGACAGAAAGGCAGCTGGGAGCATTCACGGTCGGCGCGGACGGTGTTGGCCGCGTGTGACACGCTCTTACCATTTCCAGACCACCTGCTGCTGCCAAACGTGCTGCCGACGGGACCGAGTCTCGACCAATCAGCGCCCGTCTTCCTCGAAGTGCCCGCCCCCGCGTACGTGATGCGCAACAAGCCGGCGACCTTGACCTGTCGGTCGGCGCACGCGCTCCACCTCTACTTCCGGTGCAACGGCGAGCTGGTGAGCGACCGGGAGCACTCGCGGGCCGACTACGTGGACCCGCAGACGGCCATCCGGCAGCTGGAGGTCAAGCTGGACGTGGACCGGCGCAGCGTGGAGGAATACTTCGGCGACTACCACTGCGTCTGCACGGCCTGGAGCAGCCGCGGCGAGAAGACCAGCCCCCGGGTCAAGGTCACGCTGGCCTGTGAGTACAGCCGCCCACACAGGGAACCATATGAGCTGTGTACCGTCTCTAGCAGATGTCCCAGTGACAGCTGAGTGCCTCATGCTGTCACTGGGGACTCCCAGTGTTTTCCCCGACAGAGTAGCTTTAGTCTTGAGTGCCGCGTATGGTGCAAGCTTGTATTCCCTTCGAATGCGGTCTCTAGCGGGGACAGCTGTGACCCTGCTCGGTTGTGGGGTCGCCGCCGCCGGCTGAGGTCAAGGACAGCTGTGACCCTGCTCAGCTGTGAGGTCGCCGCCGCCGGCTGATGTCACACGATTGCTGCTTGCTCTGCGAGATGCTGTCAAGACTAAACGTCGGCCGAGCGCGGCCCAGGCTGGGCACGAGTTGGGCAGCAGGCGCAGTTAATCCACGGCCGACGACAGTTGGCAAACTCTCCAGCTCGTAACGCCCAGCGATAGTCCTGAGAAAACGGCCATCGCCCGTCGCATCAGCTGGCTGAAAGTGGCTGACCAGAGCGTTAATGTGTGAGGTGTTGCCAACGTCGCCTGCGCATAGGCTTACTGGTCCAGACGGCAGCTAGACTTTGGGTTCTCCCTCTACCGCGACGCCTTCCCCTGTCTGGGGGCGTTCAGCCGCGTTATATTACTGTCATGTGACATGTCATGTTACTGTCATGTGACAGAAGTGTAAGGTCGCCAAGAGAGCCGTTCCATTGAAGCGTTCTGTTCATCTGGCCCGCCGGTGGCCTGCGGTTCAAAATCCCAGGCATTCTTCCCGACCTCGGCTCCCGCCGGGTCCTTGGGCTTCTCGCTCAGCAGGAGACTGGGGTGTATTCAATGCACCTGACCTGTCGACCTTTCCACTCTCAGTTTTTGCTCACCTTATTCCTGACTTCATCAACAAATCCTCGTCTTCGTTGGGGAAACACTAGCCAGCCTTCCCGGCACCGCGTGGGTGTTTTTGCACCAGCCGAGGACCACCACGTGCTAATAATGTTCTTCAGTGTCGCCCGGGAGGCCGCGCGGCGGCCTGTTTATTGGCTTTGTTGCAACCGAATATGCGGGCGGCGGGCGCTGTCGGCGGCGGTTGTCCCGGCTGCCGGCCACGCGCCGCGTGCTGGCGTGTCCGCGAGGCGGGGCGCTGTTTGTGTTGGCGGCAGCCGCGCCGGCCGGTGGCGATGTTTGACAGACGACGGGGCAGGGGGAGGGGGAGGGGGGGGTCAGGTGGTCACCGGCGTCGTTCGGCGTCAGGACGCCCTGGCGGGTTTCCCTGTCGTGACAGGATGGGGACGGGTACAACCGGGCCCCGGGCCCAACTCGGGACTCCGTTCTCGTGTGGCAGCTGTTGCGCGCTGTTCAGCTCCCGCCGCCGGCGACGCTGCGCTGCTGACCAGGAGCCCTGCCGCTCGTTACGTACGCCAGATCTGAAATCATTGATTTATCGAGCCGAGGCCAGCCGGCCGGCGGCTGTGCATCACCCCGTGACCTCTGCCCCAGCCGGCCGGCGAGCCACGACCTCATCCCCCGCCTCGTTCACTGCACGCCTCCAGTCTGGTAGGACGAAGGGAGTGCCCACATGCGCGCAGGGTGGTCCAGACCTTACACGCCTGCAGACTGAGCTCGTGTTACAGCGGCTCGTTTGCTCAAATGCATGAATGCCGAAATGACCCATGACCATTCAACTGTAACTGTCAGGTAAACTGTGAAGTTATTCAACCATACTGTAACCATAAATTTATTAAGGTGTTAAAAATATATATTTATATATATATATATATATATATATAGATAGATAGATATAGATATATATATAGATAGATAGAGAGAGGGGTGCATGTATATATATATATATATATATATATATATATATATAGAGGTATATATGTAGGTATATATATGTATATTATGAGCAACTATAACCAGCGCCGAGCAGAACCAAGATCCGCTCACGCCTGAAGCCAAAAAACGTTGGCAAAATTCAGTGCGACTGATAACTGAAAACCGGTTAAATATCAGTTGTTCATGGACTGGGGATGCCATGAAAAGGACGTTTTGAACAATTCAGCCCGCAGTCGTGCTGTTATGTTGTCGTTCAAAGAACCGGAACAACTATTTTTACACGCTGGAAGAGCGCATGCACGCGAATTAGTTCGAGATCGTTGACAGGCTCACTGCAAATCGTGTCTTTTTCTCGTCGGCCACGTGGCACCGACGTGTGCAAAGTCACAGCGCCACATTCGCCGTCCTTGCCCGGAAAATGTACTTCGAGCATTTCATGGACCAAGCCACGTTCCACTGAAGTGACGTTTTACTCGAGGGCAGAAATTGCTCGCCCAATGCGCTCGGTTGTTGAGCTCGGCTGCACCGCTCGCTGCCCAGCTGGTTGTCTGCCGAGAGGAGATTAAACGGAGCATACTGGAAATAGTACTGCCTTGGCGTTTGTCAGAGAGCGCTGGGGATGAACAGCGTTTTTCAAAGACAAGATTTAACTCCACTCCCTTGACCGACACGTGACATTACACCAAGAGAGTCGGCCTCGAACGCACGGCTCATCTCAGTTTCTGCGCGTGACACACATAAGTGAACTGGAGATTCTCTAACCTCTGTTTGCCGTCAACTCTGCTGATGTCGTTCTTAAAACCTACCCCGAACGCAATGCAGCCCCAAAGTAAGAAGTTGCCCTAAAATCCCGGCGATGAGATTGCTCAGATCGAAATGATGGTATGGCTGTGAACATCTATGCACTGGGCTATTTGACTGTCCCCAGCTATTTTCAAGCAATTAACACATTTAACGTGAGCCATACAATGCATACAAACTGAAGCCGCATGGAAACGTCACCTAATTTTAGTCAACGTATTGTCCAGCGACATAGACTCGGTAACTAGAGAGTTTGAATGTGTCTCGCCCTCCCTGGACAGCCGTCATGCGGAGGAAGTGTGGTACGCTTGATGCGCCTCGTCGTCCTCGCTCAGCCTCGCTCGCTCCTGTGCAGCTCTCAACTGACTCGCGACAGGCTTGGTGTGAGGAGGCCCGCAGTGCCTCAGCCGAGCTCACAGAACCATGGCGCCGATTCGCGGTGTTGCCAGATAATCTGCCAGGCAATTTAATCAGTGGAGTTAACCGTCGCCAATTATGCCGTGTTTTGTCGATAAACGGGGTGGGTGCGTTGCGCTGCAGCTGTTCAGTGCGCCACGTGAATAATTCATCGAGATGCGACCCACGTGTGCAAAACCGCACCACGGCAGGTGCGGGCTACTGTGAAACGCACTGCAGGGGTGGGGGAGGGGGGGGGGGGTAACTACTACTGTGAAACGCTCTGCCCCGAGGGGACGGCGGCCGGAATTGAGTTATCGTGCTCCTCGTGCGGCACGCCGCCGCCTGCAGCGGAGCAATGCTAATGATGCACCAGTGCACAGTCGGTATGAATCGGACGGATCATACGAGGGCGGAGCCCAGTATCCATGTTAGCAAAGCCGCATTTCGGCAACAGGTGGTGTAAGTCACGCCATGATAAATTCTGTGCATACCTTGCTCGGCAAACCGGACCTTTTTTCTTCCTCCTGCAGTCCGTGGTGGGATGGCACAACGCGGTTGCCAAAGTCAACTCACTCAGGGAGGTGAATCACGGTCTGGTGCCGTGGTGACGACCGTCTATTGATTGCCGTAATCTCAGCCTAGACGCGGCATCTTTCATGTTGGACTGATTTAGCCACGCTGATTGTGGCATTTAGTACGATATTTTCACTGAAATTTGTTGATGGCGAATTTAACTTTGCAGCGTACGGCACGCATGCAGAAAGAGTTCGTCATAGCAGAGGTCATATAAACCTGTCTTGATATCAGCAGGATTTTAAATATTTCTCTTCGCTGAACTGCGTTCTTTCCGACAGCTTTACCACTTCGGCTCTCCTTTAGCTGCCTTCATGCCTGCCAGTGCGTGAATGCGCGCCAGGGCTGCTGCTGGCCGTGTCAGACATGTCAGCCGGGTACGCGGGCTGATGTCGGCCGTGTCAGACATGTCGGCCGGGTACGCAGGCTGAGGTCGGCCGTGTCAGACATGTCAGCCGGCTACGAGGGCTGCTGTCGGTCATGTCAGACATGTCGGCGGCGTGCTTCAGCATGACGCTGGTCCGGTTTCTTTGTTCTCCCAGCCGAGCATCGGCTCTATCTGGCGCCGTCGGACGCCGCCGCTGGCCGCCCAGTGGCAGCCGTACGTCACGAGTAACTGCGGTGTCGACGGGGCGCACGGCGGGGCTCCGCGGGCCCGAACCACGGGCGGAGCCACATCGGTCCGGGGGAGGCACGCGTGGCTGGGCACGGACCGCGTGCGGGGCCGCGCCGGCCCGATGGAAGGACACGTGGTGCAGCCCGGGCTCGGTTGGGCTGGGCCGCTCCTGGCGGGCACGAGGAGGATGCCGTCAGAGATGCGCTATCGGGTCCTTGTGAAATCGCTTTAAAACGTGGGCAGGAAGCGGTGACTTTCCCCAGCGGTGCATGGTTTCGCCGCGGCTTTTCCGAGGTCAGCGGCCACCTCTCGCTCTGGCTGACCGCTGGCCGGCCGGACTGAGGTGCACAGAACTTCTGCAGTCTGAACAGACCTGACCGGCCCGCCCGCTGGTGACCGGACCTGACCGCTGCTGACCTGGACCTGACCGGCCTGTCGGCTGCTGGTCTATACCTGGCCGTCCTGTTCTCTGCTGACCTGGACCTGATCAGCCTGTCGGCCTCTGACCTGATCTGATTACCGGGCCAGCTCCTGAGCGGGGGCGCCATCGGCCGCCGTCCCGGCAGGGCACGACTCCCCGGTGCGCGGCGCCGCCCCGCCGGCACCGGCCCCGTGCGGCGCGCAGGTCTGGCCGCCGTGATGGCCGCTGAGATAGAACTGCTCGGCCCGCATGCTACGCCCTTCCCCCGGCCGGTACACTGGGCCCGCCGGCTCGGCTTACCGGGCACCGGCGCCGCCGCTGGGGGCCACTGTCGTCGGCCTGTTGGGTACCGGGCACCGCCGCCGCCGCT